TGCCGCCCCTCTTCCTCCACTTGAGGACACTGGGTCTTGTCAGGGAAAGACACCTTGTGAATCGGAGTGGGATGCTGCCCATGTTGTTTCAGCATCACGGGTGACCTGCACCGCCCACCTGCGTGAGCCAGGGCTGCCCACCCACTGCGCGTGCGTCAGTTAGAGCCTTCTTTCACAGCCAGCAGCTCACACTTGGCAGTGATGAGTTCAAGTCCGGTCAGCCTGCCCCAGGCTGCTGGAGACTGGCGCTGCTTCCCGAGTCAGGGCAGGGGAGAGGGACCCCCCCCAGGCTCCAGCCTAGGACAGGGAGCTGCAGTCCCAGAGTGGGCGGGGTCTCAGACCCACTCGGGCCATTGGCTGCCCCCATGTCCCTGCCCCTGCGGGTGTGTCTAGGCCCCGCCCATAGACGCTAAGCCCCGCCCCCTCCGCAGGCTCAGCGCTGGCGCAGCGAGAACTTTGAGAGGCCGGTGGACCTGGAGGGCTCCGGGGACGACGACTCCTTCCCAGATGATGAACTCGATGACCTCTACTCGGGGTCCGGCTCGGGCTGTAAGTACCCCTGGATATTCGGCTAGCGCCCCACCCACAGCCGGGCTTACCCAGAACGGAACCCCCTCTTCTGATGGATGTCAACGGAACCCCCTCTTCTGATGGATGTCACGTGGGGAGCTGGCGGTAGGCAGGAGGCAAGGGGAAGGTGCCGGCCTGCGGGGGGGCTGCGCAGGGCCTCCCAGTTCTGCACAGCCTCTGGCCTCTGCAGCCCGGCCTCCCGCACAGCTGACAGCAGTCCAGCCTCTGGGCGGCCTGGGGCTCTTCTCGGGAGCCCTGAGGGCGCAGCGGTTAAGGCGCTCAGCAGCCAGCCCACAGGTGGGCGGTGAGGGGCCCAAACCGCTCTGTGAAGGTGATAGTCCTGGCGAGCCCGGTGTTGCATTCTGCCCTCGGGGTCTCCGCACCGCTAGGCGCTGACTGGAGGGCAGAGGATTCGATTGCTTTCTGCAGAAGGACCAGTGGCAGAGAGGGCAGAGAGGGCAGAGAGTTAGAATCCCGGTGTTGTTTGTTGACGCTGGGTGCCCTTGGTGAGGTGCCGCCCTTCAAATGTCATTGAAACTCTGTCCACCTTCCTCCCAGCTGCTAAGAGCACCAAGCGCTGAAAGTGGGGTCTGGCTCGGGAGGGGGTGGAGATGGTGTCCCGGACAGAGTCTGATGGGGTGGTCCCCTAACCCCCCACTCCTTTCCTCTACTTGGTCCATCCCCCAGGTGGCTGTGGTCCCCCTTGGTCTGGCTCTTTCCTCTACTGCCCTTCAGGCTTCCTGGCCTGAGTCAAACTGGTCAGGGGGGCCCTTGTGTGTAGGGCTCCTTCCCACGCTGACTCTCCACTGGCCTCTGTCTTTGCCTCTGGGGGAGCCCTTAGTTTCTGTGGTAGGGGTGTACCTGGGTTGGCCCCTCCTCCCGGAATGCTGCTCCTCTGCCCCTGGGGCCTTTAATGAGCTTTGCACCTCTAGGCCTCAGCTGCTGTGTGTGTGTGTGTGTGTGTGTGTGTGTGTGTGTG